CTGGGTGGGCTGCTGAGCAGGGCCTGACGCTGGTCCCTGATAACGGCTGCTTCTGCTTTCTGCTCCTGTTGCCACCTCTGCTCTCGAGGGGGAAAACCTTGCAGAGGGCTGTGGTTGGGACTGAGCTGAAGGCCGGCAGGGGTGGGTCTCCATGGCAGTAGCACACAGGCAGGCAGGAAGTGGCCCTGTGCAAAAGCGGGAAGTGGCTGTTGTCAAACAGGAAGGGGGGCTGGGCGGGGACAAGCCTCGTGGAAAGGTGGGCAGGAAGGTCAGCCACGGAAGGTCGAAGCTGTCCCCTCGGAACAGGGAGCTCGGTGGTCACTGGAAGGAGGTGTGTCTCAAGGAAGAAGGCCGCTTTTGTGACGAGAGCAGCTGGTGTGTTATCTCCTGGGTTGGTCAGCCAGTCCCTGGGCCTGCCACTGTGGACCAGGACAGTTCAGTGGCCTCATCCCTTTTGGGATTGGGGATGCTGTGTTTAAGCTGGGACAGCCCTTGTAATTGGGAAAGATGCTCTATAAACCGTACTTGTTCCTGAATCCTGCTGCTGTTGGGGTGGAGCCCTGCCTTTTCCCAGACATGGACCAGTCGTGGAGGGGAGTACAGGACAGAAAGTGTGTGGAAAAGGGACAGGAGACGACAGCTGGAGAGGCTGGGGTGCTGGCTGGCTGTGCGTGGCGGAAGACAGGAGAGAGTGTGGCAGGCAGAAACCGCGGCCCATTGAGCAGAGCTGGATGGCAGGACGCCACAGCCAGCAAGGCCGGGGCCAAGGAAGAGGAGGGATCCCGCAGGCAGCAGCACTTCCTGGGCTATGCTGTCTCCCTGAAGAGCCCCTGTTGCTAACCTTTACCTGTAGGCTATAGACAGGAGGGGTGGAGAAACACCCCTGCCCCAGCAAGGCTGGTGGAGCCAGGTCGGAGGGCTCAGTTGGTGTGTTGTGTTGTGTACCCTGTGCCTGTCCAGGCCTGGTAAGCCCAACTCTCCCAGAATCTCTGGTAATACCCACAGCTACAAAGCCCGGTCTGGGAGGCCTTGCCTCTCATATCGCTGGGCCCTTGGAAAGGGGGCTCTCCATGTGTGCCCAGCACCATACTGAGCACTTACTCAGTTACCTCATTTAGTTCACAGATATTGTTGCCCCCATTTTAGAAATGAGGACACTTTTCCCAAAACAATGTGCCTGGCTCACTGTCTCACCTCCTTTAGGTCCTAATCAAATGTCACCTCCTTACTGACCACCCCATACATTCTCTCCCTTCCCTGTTTTATTTTTCCACATAGCACGTGCCACAACATTGACCATGCCGTCCAGTTCTTATTGGCTGTCCCACCACCCCAGCCCCACTAGAGTATCAGCTCCATGAGGGCAGGGATTTTTGTCTGTTTTGTTCACTGCTATATCCGCAACATCTAGAACAGTGTCTGTCACATAGCAAGCCTGAGTAAATATGTTTTGAATGAATGACTGAGGCACAGATGTGTGTGTTTTTAAAATATATCTTTATTGATTCAGAGAGAGGAAGGGAGAGGGAGAGAGACAGAAACATCAATGATGAGAGAGTCTTCATTGATTGGCTGCCTCCTGCATGCTCCCAACTGGGGATGGAGCCCACAACCCTGTCATGTGCCCTGACCGGGAATCTAACCACAATGTCCTGGATCCTAGGTTGACGCTCAACCGCTGAGCCACGCCCAGTCGGGCAAGGCTCAGATGGGTTTAATAAATCTCCTGACATGGCAGCACTAGGACTCAATCCAGGGCTGTTTGACTCCAAAATGGGTATGTTACTGGCGGAACTGCATGGCTAAGGATCAGAGCTAGACCAAGGCACAGCCCGGGGTTTAGAGAAGATACAAGCTGCGCCCAGAATGTGGGGCTTGGCTCCTTGGAGTTTGGGTCAAACTAGCATGGACCCTCTGGACTCTGGGCAACTCCTTCGAGGAGCTGGGAGCATGAATCTGCGTCTCTCCTCTTCCCACTTTGAGTCACTGATAAAGCTAGAGCACCCTTATTTTTAGTGCTGTTGCTGTTGTAGACTGTAACCATTAGCCAGTAAGAGACTTAAGGGAGGAGATAAACATTAATCTTCTGGGCCTTCCCCTCAGCTGCTACCTCCGCATAGTAAGATGCTGTTCTGCACCTGCCCAGGCAACCAAGCCCGAGGGTTGGGGGTTGGAGGGTGATGAAGTGAGTAGTCAGAAAGAGGGCTGCTGGGTCTGCAGCTTTGGGGCTGGTTAGCTTGGTACCTCCAACCCCAGGTCCAGGGACAGGAGGAAGGTGGGTTAGCCCTGACATCTTCCCGGCCAGATCTGGAAGGAGAGAGCTCCCTTGCACCAGGCAGGGCTATGGCTGCTTTCTCAACTACTTATCTTCTGAAGGTCCCCAGGAATGAAGGATCGGGAGCGTGGGATTACCTGGAGTTCTCCTGGCTACATCCTGATCAGTGGACATACCAAACCCGAGGGTGGGAAGGAAGGCCTGACCCAGATCTTTGGGCAGCTGGGATGGATTAGCTGGGCAGCAGGAACTAATCTCTGCCTGTCCCTACCTCCTCCTTCCACAAAGCAGAGCTGTCGTTAGAGGGAACATTTTGCACAAGGCCAGGGGTGGTTGATGAAACAATAAATATGAATTCCTTCTAGTCTGTAATCCCTACCTTATCTCAGAATACATTATCCCAGACAGGCCTGAGTTTGAATCCCAGTTCTATCCCCTTCCTGCTGTAGGTCCTCAGGCAAGTTATTTAACTTCTCTGGGCCTCAGCCTCAGCTTCGTCACTGTAGCACTTACCCAGTAGGAGGGTTGTGAGTGTCATGGGAGGCTTAGCAGAGGCTCCTTGCCGTTTAGGTAGAAGTGAGGTGGGCAGAAGCCCCTGGCACTGGAGGAAGGAATTGCTTGACAAGCGTGATGTGAAGGCATCTGCCTAGGCCTGGAGATGTTGAGGTGACCTGGACTGTGTCCTCCAAACCTGGAGTCTTCCCTTGATGCTCTCACTTTTCCTTATCCTGTTTTCATAGTACAGAGATGGAGAAAGACGGTTCTAGGCCCAGACTCCCTGCATCCACTGCCTGTGTGACCTTGGGCAGTTACTTTAGCTGTTTAAGCCTCAGTTTCCTCGTTTGTAATGTAATGGAGCTAATCACATCCCCTACTTCACAGGATTTCTGTGAGGATGAAATATGATAACCCATGCCTCTGCCGGGCATATAGCAAATGCTTAATAAATAATAGCTATTACTACTGTTATTGATGTAATTGATAAATACTTATTAAGCCCCTGTTATGGTAGGAACTCTAGAAAGCACCACTCAGAAGGGTCCCCACCCTTTGCCCTGGCTGGGTAGCTTAGTTGGTTGAGTGTTGTCCCAATACACCAAGGTTGTGGGTTCAATCCCCGGTCAGGGCACATACAGGAAGCAGCCAATGAATGCATAGATAAGTGGAACAACAGGTCCATGTTTCTCTCGTTCTCTTTTTTCTCTCTCTCTCAAATCAATAAATTTAAAAAAAGGAAAGATCCCACCCTTCAAAGAGCTTGTAACTGAAAGATAACTGATGTATGATGTGAGAATTATGACAGGTTCAGTGGGAGATAGGGGGTGGTCCTAGGGGGGAAAGTGATGTCTACCAAGAGGAACAGGGGCCCTGGCCAGTGTGGTTCAGTGGTTAGAGTGTCAGCCCGTGGACCAAAGGGTTGTGGGTTTGATTCTCTGTCAGGGCACATGCTCGGGTTTTGGGCTCAATCCCCAGTAGGGGGCATGCAGGAGGCAGCCAATCAGTGTGTCGCTGTCACATTGATGTTTCTCTCTCCCTCTCTCTCTAAACTCAACAACAAGATATATGTACATACGTGTGTGTGTGTGTGTGTGTATTTTTAAAATAGGAATAGGGAAAACGTTGTGATGGAGGTTACTTTAGGTAGGATTCCAGCAAGTAGAGCTGGGGAAGTAGAATGGGGAGGGCTTCTAGGCCACCTTGCTTTAAGTAGCAGTATCCTCTCCTTGTACTTCCTGGAGCTCTGCCTTCCTGTGGAAGGATTTGACCAACGCAGCTTGCTTGCATCTGGGAACTCTTGGATTCTAGTCATTACACCAAAGTAGAATAACCCCAGAGCCTGAGTGCCCCAGCAGTGGGTGGCCAAGAGGATCCTGGGGAGAACAGGATTTCTGTAAAATGGGCATCTTGATAGTACCAACCTCATCAGAGTTGTTATGAGGATAAATTAAAAGATGTATCTGCTAGTCCTGGCCAGTGTGGCTCAGTTGGAGTGTCATCCTGTGCATCAAAAGGTTGCGGGTTCGATTCCTGGTCAGGACATGTGCCTGGGTTGTGGGTTTAGTCCCCAGTTGGGGTATGTGTGGAAGGCAACCAATTGATGTTTCTCACATCGATGTTTCTCTCTCTTTCTCTCCCTCCTTTCCCCTCTCTGTAAAAAAAAAATCAATAAAAACATCCTCAGGTGAGGATTGAAGAAAAAAAAAAGATGTATCTGCCTGGTGTAGAAGTAAGCTCTCAATAAATGTGCTCATTATTTTCTCAGATCATCATCTTTGTTGTCAGCATCATTATGTTTTAGGGTTGCTATGAATACTAAAATAGAGAACATATGCAAAACTCCTAGCACAGTGCCTGGTCATATAGTAGGTGCTCAGTAAAACTTAACTATTACTAGTATTTCTAACAAGAAAGAGATTTTGGACACCCTGGCCCAATGAAATCCCTGCAATAGTGGAAAGAGTACTAGAGTTTAGTTGAAGACCTGGATTCAAATCCTGGCCCTGCCACTCACTAGCTTGCGCTGCTTTCCTAAGGCATTTCCTCATCTGGAAAAGGTGGTTATAATACCTGTCTCCAGGATTGGTGTGACTTGCTGCATTAATTCAGCAAATTGTAAAAAGTGCACAGTTGGCGCCTAAGTATTGAAGTGGTATGAATAGCCAGGTGGCCGGCCACCAATGGAAAGTGTGGTTGATGGCTTTTGGTTTTTCTCCTCTGCTTTTAGATCACCAGAAATTAGAACGTGAGGCCCGGATATGCCGACTTTTGAAACACCCAAATATCGGTAAGTTCTCTTGCATATGGGTATTTCTTGCGTTTTGCAGGAGGGGGTGGAGAACAGAGATCCGCTGCTTTTGTATATGAAACTACTTCTGACCCTGGGCCTTTGCCTGGTGTCTTGCTTTTCCTGAGCGGGAAAGCAGCTGCGTCTTGCTCAGAATTCTGAGGCATCCTAGCTTTGAGACTGGGCGTCTTCATGCCCACAGTGCCATCTCAGGGATGGGATGTGAGGTATCGGAACAGGTTCCACACTCCCTTTCTTCCCTACTCCTTCTGTCTTTGGGCTGAGGTCCAAGGTCCTCAGCATGTGAGGCTCTGGGCTAGTAGCCTACTAGTGTCCCTCACCAGGCCCCATCCACTGCTGTCATAAAAGGGTCCGGATTTTGTTTCTGGACCTGAAAGAGTTTGTCCCTGTTGCAGTGTCGTGCACACTCTGGGGGTTTCCATGGTGCTCCTGTTTGTATTCTCCAGAGCCAGGGAAGCAAGCTGCCCACCCGCCTGGCTTCTCTGGAGAAGGGATGGCAGGAGCCACTTGGATGGGGAAGAAGAAAAAATGAAGAGGATTTCTCCCTGCTCCCACCCTGACTTGGGGGACAAGAGCACATTGTTGGTTGTTCTAAAGCCTGAGGAGCTTTGCCTGCCACAACCCACTCTGGCTCAGTTTTACATTGTTCAGCTGAAATAGTCTTTGCCAAGAGCGTTGGCCCTGATTTGGCGCTTCTGCAGGGAGGGCAGAAACTGGGCTGGCTGCAGTGTCTGAGCAGAAACCCCAGTCTTGACTTGAGGCAGAGCAGGGAGCATCTCCTAGGTTCTCCCTAAAAGCCCCGAGTCATCACAAAAAACAACATGTGTTCCGTGTTCCTCAGGCATGGCCTAAATATCAGGGCCCCCACAGTGCCCCAGAGGCCACCCACTCTACTCTGCTGGTGGCCAGGCCTGTGAGGCAACTTGCTGAAGCTTGGCGCTTCCTCCAGAGCTACTCAGCCTCTGGCTTCCCAGATCTGGGGCTAGAATGCTTCACGTGAGCTATTACGTGAGAGAGCCGAGGTCACACTCCAGCCCAAGGGGAGAGGAGCAGCTCTGAGGTAACCAGAACCCCAGCCATGCAGGGCTTTATAGATCACAATCAGCAGCTTGGATTACACCCGAAGCAGATTGGCATAGCCAGTGCTCCACTCTGCCTGGTGCAGTGTTTTCCACAGAGCCAACACCTCTCAGCCGACAGGTCCTGGGCTTGGAATCCGTGGGGCTCCTGGGTGATCTCTTGAAGTTAGACTCACACCTGAAAACAGCGCGGTGGAGGCCAGCATGGCCTTACATAGGAGAGACGCGACGCAGAGAAACACCTAGAACAGCAGTCACAAATTCAGGCGTGTTTTGTTTGGCTGGCTCAGTGGTCTAAAAATATTTTTATTATTTGCCAGTCATTATTTAAAAATGAGATTTTACGTTTTTGCCCCGACCAGCGTGGGTCAGTGGTTAGAGCGTCGGCCTGTGAACCTAAGGGTCGTGAGTTCGATTTCTGGTCAACGGCACATACCTGGGTTGCTGGTTTGTTCCCCGGCCCTGGTCGGGGTGTGTGCAGGAGGCAACCAACGAATCATTACGACTCTCTCACATCAATGTTTCTTGGTCTTTCTCTCTCTCCCTCTCCCTGCCTCCCTTCCATTCTCTCTAAAAATCAATGGAAAAAATATCCTTGGGTGAAGATTTTAAAAAAAAAGAGATTTCACATTTTGAAAAAATTCTGTTTCCTAGTCTTTCAAATCAGAAGGCTTGGTTCTGCTGAGCCCACCTCTGTGCATGGCCAGACTCAGCTGGGGCTGGGCAGTGGCGGCCCCTTAGTCCATTGGCCACCGTCCTCGCTACTGCCCCCTATCTCAGGAAGAGAAAACATGGGTAACTGAAAGCCATCCACAAGCACAGAAGCATTTTGGTGTTCTAGTTCCGGGTCTCAGGGTCTGAGGACAGCAACTTCCTTTCCTTATGCTCCTTGTGACCAATTCGTAGAACAGTGACAAGCTATCCTCATGGAGGAAGAACGGGGGAGGGGGAGCTGAGGCAGGAGACGGAGCCAGGTGCGCATCACCTGCCGTGCAGGCGTGGCTGACCACAGAAGGGTCAGGGCAGGATGGAGGTAACCGAGACACAACCAGGAAGACAGAAGAAGGGATTCTAGCTGCAAAAAGTTCTAACCTTTTTCAAATACATAGTTTTAAAAATTAAATATATACTTTTTGACCTTTTGACTTTACTTGGTTTGGTGGCCTTTTTTTGTGTGTACCACCTGCCCCCAACTCAGAATTAAGGAGACTGAGAGACCTAGCCATCTGCTCTGGTAGGGAGACAGCAAGATCCAGGAAAGGCCAGGCAAGTGATACTCACTGTGTTAGCATCTGATTGCCTAGAACTGTGCTTCCATTTCATGAGTGCTCACAGATCCTGAGGGATGTTGGTCTGAGGCCCTGTTCTGGGGTCAAGGGCAGGGAGAGGAAAGGGTGAGCCAGGACTGTGTCCTGGGAGAGCTGGCTGGCCAGGCTGTCTGGCTTCCGGTGGGAACCAGGGCTCCTGGAGATGTGGCAGAGCTATGGGCCCAGGAGGCTGGGGGTTGCCATGGATCCTGACCTGGCTTGTGGCAGGAGAGAAGGCAGTTTTGTCCCCCTGATTCACTATTCCTCTCATCTCTCCACTGCTCCATCCTTCAGAGCTGTGGCCCTTTTGGCTCCAGCCTCTTTAACTCCATCCCACAGGGATACAAGTGGATCAGCGGAGAGTGGTGCAGAGTTGAGGAAGCCGAGAGCAAAGAGCTTATGGTCAAATTCTGGATGCTGTCAGACTCAGAAGCGTATTTGGTGCAAGGAGCCAGGCACCCCCAGCTTTATTCCCTAACAGATATTCTGTCCCAGGAGTTAAAAGCCTGTTAGAAGAGTGAACCCTAATGTAAATTATGGACTGTGGGTGATAAGGACGTGTCAGTGTAGGTTCATCACCTATAACAATTGTACCACTCCGGTGGGGGCTGTGGATAGTGGGGGAGGCTGTGCATATGTGGGGACAGAGGATATGTGGGAGCTCTGTGTACTGTCTGCTCAGTTTTGCTGTGAACCCAAATTGCTCTAAAAAATAAAGTCTATGGATTTTTTTTTAAGACGCCTATTGGTTATGAGGTGTGCTGCGAAACCGAACAGCCCTAGGAGAGTGGCCAAAGGTGTGGCGTTGAGAGGAGGAGACAGCAGGAGTGCTGAGCGTCTAAAGTTGGAATGGAGTGTTTGTGCTCTGCCTGTGACCTGCTTGCTCCCTGCTCTAAATTCCTCTGATGACTAGACTCCGACTTCCTTCATGCTGAGCCACCCCAGCGGTTTCGGTCACAGTCTAGCCCTGTGGTTTAGAGCAGCACTTCTCGAACTTTTATGTGCTTATGGATCACCTGCGGATCATGTTAAAATCTGGATCTGATTCAGCAGGTCTGGGGCGGACCTGAGCTTCCTCGTGTCTCCAGGTGATGCTCACGATGCTGGTCTGTGGACCATATACTAAGAGAAGCAAAGGCCTGTGGCTTTGGGCTCAAGTCCAGGTTTGAATAGGGGATTTGCCGGTCAGTAGCTGCGACTTTTCGGCACATCATTTCGCCTGCCTGTGCCTTTGTTCTGTCACTTGTGCCTTTTTGTGGAGTTGCGGTGAGGATTCAGCAAGCGGAGGAGGCCTAGGAAATAAAGGGAGATAAAAACAGATTCCAACTGCCAGAAGTGATCCGTGCTAGACCCCCAGCCCCACCTCAGTGCAGAAGGTATTCAAGCCAGACCGCCTTGCGCCCAGGGCCCATTCAACTACCAGTAAGTGTAGCAAAGATAGTTGCAAAGAAAAAGTAGGGAACATCGGATCACGAGTGAACAGCTCCTGAATCCCTACCCACCACTCCTGGGGGGCACCCGCAGCCCCCCACCAACCCCTGCCACAGGACCTCCTTCCTAATGTCCGTGCTTTTGCTGCAGACATTAACAGTGACACTTTTTCAATGCTTTTTGACCATGGTTTGTTAGTTAAAATGTGGCATATTATTGGGTGGTTTTTAAAGAATTGGGAATAGCCACAATAATTGGGTTGTGGCTCTGTCAGTCCTTGAAGGTCTAAAACATCAAGTAAAAGTATTTGGGTGTTTTTTTGGCCTTCTTTCCACAGTTTGTAAAGAACAATAATTAGGCTAAACACTGTAATGTAATAAACACTGTATATCCCTTTCTCCTATCTTCCTGTCTATAGACTTGCCTGGCCGCCTTGGCCTTCCTGCCCTCTCCTTACTGGGGTATGGGCTGGGTGTCGGATTATTTCATGGCACAAGTCCATAGCATCCTTTACTCCCACCTCACAGCCCTCAGCACAGTAGTGCTAGTTACAGATTTGCGTATGTGCCGGTGGAAAGCCCGTCTTCCCCGTTCACCTGGAAGCTCCGCGGCGGAGGGCCGGGTTTGTTGCCTTCACAGCCGGATCCGTGGCATGTACAGCCATGCCTGCTTCAGAGAAGGTGCCGAACGGACGTTGATGAGTGAATCAGAATGGCCAGGGCTAGTGGGGACAGGTTGGAGCTCCTTTGCCTAAGAGGATGGAGAAAGTGACTTCCTAACAGGCAGTTCTACAATATCAGGGATCTTATGCCAGTTTGTTTTGGCTTCAGGTCTCAGTTCTGCCACTTGGTATGACCTTGAGTGAGTTTCTTTGGAGTCTCAGTTTCCTCTCCTGTTAGATGGGGGTGATAGAAGTACCTGTCCCACAGAGTTAATGTGCGAGTTGAGTAAAATGGCATGTGTAAAGCACTTGCCACAGTGCCTAGCACATAGAAATAGTTCAAGTGTTAGTTATAATTTAGAGCATTATTATTAAGAATCCACTAGGTAGGCACTTAGAGTGGTGCAGTCAGTTTTCTCCCCTGTTCTCAGTTCCCTGTTAATTTTCTTTATAAGTGGGAAAAAAACACAAAAGAGATGGGCCTTCCACACCTGTCCCTGCTTGTCTCAGTAGAACCTTGCTCTGGGTCCCACACCACAGCCATTCCCTCGCCTGGGTCACCTGGAAGGGTAGGTCTTCCTTTGCTGCTTCTCTTGCCCCGCTTCCTCCCACCTGGGCTCTGTGTGTGGTTCCTGGAGAAGGGCAGGTGCCAGTGACTCCCTGTCTGGGGATAGGTATGGGTGCCTGCACTTTCTGTCCTGTTCTTAGCCCTGCTGTGCTGTGCTGGGGGTGGGGTTAGGGTCTGGGGGAGGCAGGGTGGGCAGCTGGACTCCCCAGGAGTGGTTGTTAGCACCGTGCCTGCTGTCCTGTGAGCTCACCATCCTGCTGCTGTTAGTCACCTCCCTAACAAAGCTGGTTTTTAGCTTCTGGGACAGCTGATTTCCAGGGGATTATTTGTATTACACACTTTAATGCTTTTTAATAGCAAATTTCTAATTAAATGGAAAGTCCTTTTGAAAGCAAGGGAGCAGCAGCTGCAGCAGGACTCAGCATGCAGCACTGACTTAGACCAGAGAAGCACAGTGAAGGAAGTGGAAGGGCTCTGGGGGCTGTGTGTGAGCGTGCCTGGGTTAGTCAGGGTGGGAAGGAAGCAGGCGTCTGGCTGTAGGTCTGGCTGTAGCTCCTTCCTTCTGTCATCTGCAGGCCTAGAGAAGCAGAAGCTTGTTTGCCTGAGGACAGGAGAGAAAGGTTTGAGGAGGAGTGATTTTAGAAGTACCACCTACCTTTGGTCCCACTGGTAAATCACAGAAATACTGAGTTTGAGGTGGAATTTGGAGTTGAGAAACCAGATCAGATCAAATAAGGTAGGCAGTGAGAAGTATAAACAGTCCTCAGGCCCTAGTTCAAACCCTGGCAGGCCTGAGTCCTCATTTGTCAAGCGAGGAGAACCATAGCGCTCTCGTGATGGCTTAGTGCCTGCATTTTGTGCTCTGGGTGATCCTGCTTTGGTGGGGAGGGGATGTAGGGAAGCGCCTCAGCCCTGATGAACCGCTCGGACACTGGAAATGGAAGCTGTCATTTGGGGCAGTTGGCAGCCTGGGCCACGCCAAGGAAGAGAAACTAATTTTTTTTGTCTCCAAGAACTTCACTGGTTGGTTTGGTGTCAGGCCATTCCTGAAGTGCTCTCTGAGGTCTCCTGAAACTGCCGAGGGTTGGAGCGAAGGTCAAATAGAGCGAGCCCTTTGGAACCGAGGTTTCCCATCAAGAGAGTTCAGGTGAGGGAAGGAACAGGAACAGCCAGACTGTCAGCCAAAGCGTGAGCTATGTTTGCATTAGAATGATGCTCAGAGCTTGGCATTTAACCCAGAGGTGGCTCTGAGGGCAGGAGCTTGTCGAGCAGACCTCAGAAGACATTAAGTTGGTGTTTTGCCCAAGAGTTCTGGAGGCAGGGAGTGGGAAGGGATTCTGCCCATCGGCCTCCTCTCGCAGTTGGTGGGTTGCCATGGGCGGCTCCATGTGGTGGCCTTCTAGACCCACCTGTGCTGTTGTAGGTATATTCGTGAATGGTCTCTCTCCCGGGCTCCATTATTTTGTTACCTGGGTGTGTGGGCCACTCCACGTGTCTTATAGGGAGCAGCGGTGGAGACCAGGCTTTGGAGACAGATAGAGCTGGATTCACAATTTTAACCCACCGTGTCTTTGGCCTTTAGCAAGATACCATCTGTCCCTGAACCTCCTGAGTCCTCATCTGTAGAAAGGGGGTAACACTCATCTCATGGTGGTCATCAGGAATAATAAACTCCTCGTAGGCAGGCACTACATCCTTCCTAAATCTAACCGCCCAGCACAGAGTCTGGCACATAGTAGGCACTCAGTAAATGCCTGTAGAACAAGGGACGTATGCCAAGAGGCTTACACAGGCCTGGCACACAGTAGGCAGTTAATAGAACGGTGATTGTTGTCTTTGCCTGAATTTGCCAGTTGCCTCCCATGCTCGCCAGCCGTCATCCTCGCTCCACGTGCCTTCCTCTGGGCTCTCCCTCTCCCACTTCTTCCCCTCCCATTAATTCTTCTGTTCCCATTGACCCTTCTGAAAGAGCTCTCGGCTCGCCCATCTTGTCATCCTCCGTCCCCTGCGGTAAGCGTCACTAGGTGCTCCTCGCTGTGCATTACGCTGTCACTCGTCATGTCCCAGGACCGCCTGCTCTGGGACCAGCCCCTCTGGGAAGGTTCCAGCCCTTCTCTGCCTCCTTAGCCACGAAGCTTCTCTTGCCTACGTCTGAGGCGGTCTGAGGTGGCGACCCGAGCGCCGAGCCTGGGGTCTGGTTGTCCCTCTGTGCCGTGGCTGCATAGCCTGGGATGGGGGCGCTGGGCACGTGGCCACTTCTCACGGCCGCTCCTTCAGGAGAGAGCCCAGCGAGGCCGGCAGAGGGGCGGGGGTGGCTGCTGAGCAGGAGAGGAACAGGATTTCCAATTTCTCTCTGCTAATGTCTGTCCCATCTCCTCTCTTGCAGTGCGCCTCCATGACAGTATTTCTGAAGAAGGGTTTCACTACCTCGTGTTTGACCTGTAAGTGCCACTTTCTGAAGGTGTGGGGCCTTTTCCTTCAGCTAGTTCACAATGAAGGCTTGGAAGAAGGCCTGAGCTAGGCCTCCAGCCTCGGCCAAGGGCCCCTGTCCTTTGCCCGAGGGGAAGAATTTGGTTTTGAACTTCCTCTGGTAGCCGGCATGCTGCTGAGGGGACATCACGGCTCGTGCGGCACCCCTCCCGCCCCGGGGTCCGAGCCCCAGAACGGCATTGCTGGCGCGTTTCTGTTCAGCACGCACCTCGTGCAGATGCCTTTTCCTTGTCTCTCGGTGTGTGGTCCTTAGTGGAGAAATAGAGCACAGCTCTTTACATGACCTTAAAAATTCTGCGAACTCGAAGGTAGCTTCTATCAGTTGTAAGCTGGCTCTGATTGGTCTCTCTCCACTCCGGCTGTGGTTGAATATCTTAAAAGTGGCTCTTCACCTCCTGGAAATACCTCTTTGGTATGTTCAGGGTTGGGTCTCATTCTGCAACTTCCAGTCGTAGGTCTGGTCATTTGGGGCAACTGTACCTTCGTGTTTATGTTGATCTCAAGTCTGTGACTTTCTAAGTAGGTCAGTTATTTTCTCTTAGATCCCTGTATATTCGTCTTTGCCTGAGCATTAGCTATCTGTAAGGTCATAAAAACAGAGATGCAGGAGGAGGGGCGGGCCCATGTTACCCCAGGGAGGAGCCCCGTGTCATTGAAGGATGGAGTGTGTTCTGGGCTCTTGAATGAAATGAATATAGAGTTAGGATTTCTTTAAAAGCTGTTCTGCAGTGTCACCTGTTACCTGCTGGATGCTGGGGCGGGCCGCCTTGCCTCCTCTGATCCTCTCTGTTTGTTGGTTGCAGTGTTACTGGTGGAGAGCTGTTTGAAGACATTGTGGCCAGAGAATACTACAGTGAAGCTGATGCCAGGTGAGATGAGGGCCCTGTAGTTCAAGTGTGAGTCTTGGTCATCTTAGGGGGCCAAGCATTGTGTCTGTTTGAATAGTTCTCTTGTCTGGACAAAGATTCTGTAGAGCTGGACTCAGGCTGCATTCTGTGGGTGAAACAAAAAGTTAAAAATTCAGCACTTGCAAATAAATTTTTTTGCAAAGCTCTTACAAGTCTCCATACGCCATCACCCCAGAAATACCTTTGCTTTGCACTACTGTGTACTTGCAGGCATGCCCAAGGGCCCTCCCTACCCCCTTCCTTTCCTTTGACAAATTCTACTGTGTACAAGGCATTCTCGGGATGATCCAGAGATGGAGAAACATGGTTTTTGTCCCAAAGGGTTAATAATCCAGCCAGGAACCTTTTTGGGGATGTCGGCCTTCATCACGTTGTGTCTTTTTTAAAAATATATATATATCTTTATTGATTTCAGAGAGAGGAAAGGAGAGGGAGAGAGAGAGATAGAAACATCAATGATGAGAGAGTCATTGATCAGCTGCCTCCTGCACGCCCCCGACTGGGAATTGAGTCCGCAACCTGGGCATGTGCCCTGACCGGGAATCGAACCCTGATCGCCTGCATCTTAGGTCGATGCTCAACTGCTGAGCCACGCCCGGCCGGGCCATGTTGTGTCTTGACCACCATGACCAGCCCTGATGCGGGCTCCTCAGGCTGGAAGTCATTCCTCTGCCACACCTCTCAGCCCAAGCCCTCCGTGGGAGCCCTGGCAGCTCCTTTATGTGACACAGCAGTTTCCTCCTCCGCCACAGCTCTGGGCACTTGCTTGGCCAGCCTTTCCCGCCTCGGTTCCTCCCCCAGCCCGAGTTTTCTCGGAGGGTGATGTCCATACAACCTGGTTGTGATCATCCTGCCTGTAGCTTATCTGCATATGTGGCTGCTCCAGCTGCCTCTGGAGAGTGGGGAGCGCAGCTTCCTCACAAATTTCTCAACTCAGAGAGGCCAGTGTTTGTTGATCAACTTCAGATGCTTCAGCCTCAGGAGAAATTCTCAAGTGGGGAGATGAATTCCAGTGCCAGCAGGGGAGGACCAGGCTGTGGGGCGGGAGGAGGTGGTGATAGCTCAGGGAGCCTGGCGGGGAGGAGGGAGAGCTGGGGGGATGACTGTACCAGTGGGCTTGGCCTGGCTCTGCTGGGACACTTCGCACTTTTGCCATTTTTGGCCAGAAGGCTCTCCCTGCTAGCCGGGCTCTGTTCTAATTATACATTTCTGTGGAGACTCGCCTCTTCAGCTCAGTCTTAAAGTCTCTTTGGCCTGCTCTTGGGCTGTGTCCTGTAGGGAGGCCTGCGCCTCCAGGAGCCTCATAGCCCCTTGGCTCTTGTGGAAACCCCACGGTCAGATTTTAAGGAAGGAGTAATAAGTCCAGGTCACCAGCCCAGTGCCCCCAGACACTGCAAGCCTGCTCTGTATGCCTGGTAGTACCTGCTGGCTGCGGCTCCATTCTCTAGGCCAGGGTTCTTCAACCTCAGCAGTACTAACATTTAGGGCCAGATAATTTTTTGTTGTGAGACCCTCTCTTGAGCATTGTAGAGGTTTAGAAGCATCTCTGGCCTCTATCCACTAGATGCCAGTAGCACCTAACTCCTCAGTTGTGGCAACCAGAAATGTCTGCAGGCATTGCCAAATGTCCCTTGGGAGGCAGCATTTCCCCCACTTTTCACCACTGCCCTAGACTGTCAACACTCTGCCACGAGTTTGACTGCAGTGGGGCAGGATAGTTTGGGAGTTGGACAGTCTAATTCAGGAATCAGCATGATTGGGACTCTTAGTTTGTCTTTTTCTATGCAAAATCATCATCAGAAATGCTCCTTAGGGATTCTATTTTGTTGTTTGTTTGTTTGTTTTAAAAGATTTTTTTAATGAGCTTATTTGAGCCAAACTGACGACAATTGCCTGTAAGCCAAGTCTTATGGATTGTGCAAATGCTCCAGAAAATGGCAGTTTTACCACCTCTGTTATACATCAGAATCAAAGAGGAAGATGTGAGGGGTTATATGAAATCCAAAACCAAAGAGGGGAGATCTGTGGGACTAGATAAAAAGTAAACCGAATAAACACATACTTCTTTTACATTTGTGGGTATAGTTAACATACTAATAACAATGAGGAAATTTGTGGCTTCTGCTCTGGTGTAGTAGTTGTATTTTGGGGGTGAGGGGAGAAGGGGAGAGATTATTTTGATATTCCAAAGCAAAAAGACAGTTAAGGTGAAGATTGACCTTTGTTGGGGAAAAATACTGCCCTAGAACATGACTACCTGCCAAGAGCTGCTTTTAGTTAGAAAGTTTTAATTTCAGACCATCCTATGTGGTTACTTTCCGTCTCTGAGTTTGTAAGGCCACTGCCATGCAGGCCTCCCCTGAGTTTGTCAGGTTTAGTGGGTCGCCCCCTTTTGGTCATAAATCAGTCCAAAGGATGCATTGATGATCAACGTGCTGGTTGGGTAATGTGGTCCCACAGTGCTAGGAAGGCTCATTCCTTGGAAGTCTTGGTGTTAGCATTTGTCTTGCTGAATGATGGACCATTAGGGATGGGGCAGGACCATAACCTTGGATGGAAGTCAAGGCTGAACTTTTCTCACAAGTGAAAAGCAGGTAAATGGGAGGCAGACAGGTCCTATGGGCCTTTATTAACAAAACACTCTAGACCATTTTTAACCTATAAGCTACCATGATCCAAGTTTTGTTGTCTCATTTTTCTATATTTTGCATCTAGTATAACATTTACTTTATAGTTTGGGGGCGCACTATACACTTAGGTACTCTGTTGGGACCCCTCTTAAGTACATTGTATCTTAAAGGTACACAGGTACTTGTTTTATCTCCCCTCCTAGATGACAAACCTCAGGTCAGGCACTGGGTCTTGTTCATTTTTGTAGCCTGTGTGGTGCCAAGCACAGTGCTCGTAAGCACCCAATAAATGTTTTAAGTAGACATGAGTGTACCCACCCCAGCTTTAGTTGGACTCTCTTTCCTAAGTTGCGACCACAAGCTGCTTCTCCTAGAACAGAGTTACTAGAGGGGAAAAGAAGACAAGGAGGGGTTGAGTGGGTTCCCCTTCTCAGGGGTCTGGGGTGTCTCTAATATCTTAGAAATAGACTGGGTTGTGTTGGGCCTTTATAGTCTAAGGAGGCATGGTGGACCCTGTTCTAGTTGCTCCTTTCCCCTTATCTATTGGGAGACTCTGGACAAACCACTTAATCTGCCTGGGACTCAGTTTCTTCTTCTGTAAAATAGGTTGAACTAGATGATGTCCAGAGTCTGAGGTTCTGGCTCACTGTTCAGTGATTTTGTGAACCTGTGATCCAGAGTTACGTGCTTTAGTCCACAGCATGTGGTTGTGAAGGAGGTGGTTTAACCCTGCACTGACATTTGTTTTTCTTCTGCTTTTGCAGCCACTGTATACATCAGATTCTGGAGAGTGTTAACCACATCCACCAGCACGACATCGTCCACAGGGACCTGAAGGTACTGCTCAGGCTTCCCCTTTGCCTCCGGCTCGTGAAGTGTTGTCGCCACCTGGTGCCACTTGGTGGTACTACGAGGCCCACCCACACCGGGCTCCCTCTGGGCCTAGGGGTGGGTGCCTCACAAGGTTCTGTCTTTCCCTCATGCAGCCTGAGAACCTGTTGCTGGCGAGTAAATGCAAGGGTGCTGCAGTCAAGCTGGCTGATTTTGGCCTAGCCATAGAAGTACAGGGAGAACAGCAGGCTTGGTTTGGTAAGAGTGACCCTGTCTTCCTGGAATGCAGCCCCCGCCCTTCCTCTTCTTCCTGATCTGCCTTCCTCCTTCGGAACTAGAAGCCAGACCCTTAATGGTCCTGGCCTCCTCAGAGACCGGAGGAGAGGGAGGGTGCAGAGCTCCCCTCTGCCCTACGTGACTCAACACAGTGAGTCTAGCCGTTGTCAGCACTGTGCTCTGCTGCCTCTGGGGAGGACTGGGAGTTCCTGGTAGGCACATGGACTTGCCCTCTGATTGAGATTCCAGGCACTACAAGAAGCCAAGCCTGTCATCTCCTGCCACCCACGTGCTGGGAGCTTATGTAGCAAAGGCATCAGAAGCGAGAAGGGACTCGGGGAAGGTTGCTGATGTGGATTTAATGAGAGAGAAAGTGGGTTCAGTGTGCCTCCGCCCTCTCTTCTGCTGCAGGTTTTGCTGGCACCCCAGGTTACTTGTCCCCTGAGGTCTTGAGGAAAGATCCCTATGGAAAACCTGTGGATATCTGGGCCTGCGGTAAGCCCATTCCACAGTCTCAGCTTTTCGGCGTTGAGGGCCCTTGACTTCAAGCCATGGCGAGAAAGAGGCTTAGCTCGTCTTTGCGGGTCCCACAGGTGTCTGGTGTATGTGAAATCCCGGTGTTTGCTCTAGTGCCCCTGGGATGGCCGTTCCCGCCACACCCTCCTCCCCAAGTACTTTCTCTTCTGTTACATCCTTTTGGAAGAGGGGTTTGCCCACGCCTTAGAGGATGGGTTGTTCCTGAAGAAATCCCTGACATGGCTTGGAGTCACAGGGAGTGAGGCGTAGCAGGAAGGGCTGGTGGCACAGCATCCCTGGCTGGTATCCACTTCTGTCTGTGCTGTGGCCCTTGGCTTCCTGGGTGGCCCTCAGCGCTGCGTGGGTTTTCTCGGGTCCTCGCAGGCGGTGACAGCCTGGCGGCCTGTGCTCTGTCTCGTAGGAGTCATCCTGTACATTCTCCTTGTGGGGTACCCCCCCTTCTGGGATGAGGATCAGCATAAGCTGTACCAGCAGATCAAGGCCGGAGCCTATGATGTAAGCACCCGTCCGTTCCCACCTCTTGGGCTCTTCCAAGGGGAGGGTTGGGATACAAGGAGGTTTGGGGGCTTTGAGGACCCAGGGACAGGTCTCAATTCCAGTCACCCACTGCCCCAGGAAGCCACTTTTTTGGTATCTGTAAAATCAAGGAGCCCACTGACACCCTTGGGCGTGGAGGTGTGGGGCGCTGTGTCACACAGCGATGAGAGGTCTGGCAGCTCCCTCCCCGGCGGTGGGGCCCTGGGCACATTGCTGAGTCACTGCTTCCTCCTAGAACCAGAAGGTGTTGGAGTCCCCTTCCTGCTCTGATCTCATTTTCTGGCATTCCAACCATGATTGCTCTGCCTTCCCTTCCTGACACAGGTGCTGGGATACCCCAGGGCTTCTCGAACGCTTTGCCAAGCAGCCTTAGGTAGCACAGAGTATCCCGCTGATAGGAGTTGGGATGGAGACAGAACCTACCTTTCAGGGTGTGAGGCTCACAAATTTCATACCCCTCCTTTCCCTTTTTCTGCTCCTTAGTTCCCATCACCAGAGTGGGACACGGTGACCCCTGAAGCCAAGAACTTGATCAACCAGATGCTGACCATAAACCCTGCAAAACGTATTACAGCTGACCAGGCTCTCAAGCATCCATGGGTCTGCGTAAGTGTCTTCACCTAGGAGCGGAGGAGATCAGTGTGCCCTTAGTATCCTCCTTAATGTTTTTGTTTGTTTGGGGGTTTTTTGTTTGTTTTTGTTTTTGTTTTTTTACGAGCAGAGAGTAATTATTCTGGGTCCTGAGCAAGGACTCAGCAGAGAAGGAGGGGGGACTGGGTGGGGCCCAGGGTCAGTAAATATCACCAGGGAGGCAGATGGGGCTAACTGACCTCTCTGCCTGTCTCTCTCCCACTCACTTGTCAGGTGTGATTTAGTTCTGATCTTGAACGAGGGCTTAGGTTGACCTCTGCAGGCTCTAGGTAGTTGATAGAAAGCAGCCAGCACAACCCAAAGTGAATTGACAAATTTAAGGTGCATATTCAGACTTCAGCTCTCATACAACCACTCTGCAATGTGACAAATACATGAAAGAATCTAATGAGTGCTTAGGTGCACCTGATGGGGGTGGGATTGCTGGAGGCTGCATGGAGGAGGTGACCTCTGTCCTGGTTCTTGGGCCTGGGTGAGAGGCCACAGGGAAATTGTAGTGAGTTTAAGGAATGTTAGTTTACAAGAAAATGAAGCCCGCACAAGTTTCTGCCTAAGGAGTTTAGACTTTATTCTGAAAACATGGGGAACCATTTGTAATTAAGAAAAACCACTGTGGAAGCTGTGTAGAAAATGGAATTGAAAAGGAAAGAGGGCGGGCAGGGGGGTAGAGAGCTCAAGAAGCTGTTGTAATTGTCTAAGCAAGACCAGGTGAGATCTCAGCTAAGGGTAAAGATACAGGGGGTGGTATGGAACAAAAAGGACAACTTTTAGATATTTGGGAGATAGAATCAAAAGAATTTGGTAACCAGTTGGATTTGGGGAGAGAGAGGGCTCTATGGGGACTGCCAGGTTTTGAGTTGATAACTGATGGTTTTGAGTTGAAAACATTCACTGACCCAGAAGAAACCCAGAGGAGCCAGTTTGTGAGAAAATACGATGACTTTAGTTTCATACATACTGAGTATGGTGTCTGAGGGCCTCCAGCTGGAAACATTCAGTGGGTAGTTAGAAATATGGTTCTAGAGGTTAGAAAAGTTGAAAATTGGGAATGTAAGGTCATAGTCGTTTCTGTACAGGTGGAGTTGAGGCTGTATAAATGGATGGGTTTCCGTCTTTGCTAACCGAACTTTAATTGAGGGCTTGTATAAGAGAAGAGATGGCCGCTGCGCACCAGCGTGTCATGTCAGAGTCAGAGGAGCCTGCAAAAGGGGACTGAGGATGAGAACTGCCGTTGCAGAAGCAGGAGCGGGAGCCCCTCGGAAACAGGAGGTCTCAGTAAGGGAGCATCTGTAATCAGGTGCTTCAGAGAGTCCTAAAGACAGGAAAGAAGCCACTGGTTCTGACCGATCAGAGGGCGTTGTTTCGTTACTTGACTGGTAGAGGTAGTGGAGCGACAGAGACCCACGTAACCTGTGTCCAGTGAGGTGAAGAGCAAATGGGGTGAAGGGAGAAAGAAGTGGTACTACTTAGAAAGGACAGGTGGGTTAGGGAGTTTTTAAATTTTTGTTTAAGAAAAGTCTTGACTATAATGTATAGACTGCAGAGAAGAATAGAGTCTGGAGTAAGGGGTTAAAAATAATAGCTGACTGAGGAAGCAAAGGTTTTGATAACTAAAAGAGAGAGGCTCCCAAGCCCAGGTGGAGGGGTCAGCACTGGACATGAGGGTTGCTGCTGCTGAGACCCGGGATTAGGTTGCAGGTGGGTGAAAGTGAGTTTTGGGGGGGGGGTGTGTTAAAGTTGAGGTTCTTTCTTGATAAGCTCTCCTTTCTCTTTGTGGAGAGGTTTACACCCTGGGGGAGGAAGTGAAATAAGAGAGAAGGTTGGGAGAGTTGCTTTGGGAACCAGGAAAGGAAGTTGCCCTGGGATGGGGGGAAGATTTGCAGGGTAGCCCCGTGGGGTTGTGGGCACCAGGCTGCATGTGGTAGGATTTATTTTTCTAGCAGGCTGGCCAAGACAGCAACAGCAAAGGGAGGTCATGAGCAACTTAAGAATTGGGGAAATACTGTGTTCTGGAGATCATTTTGTGGGCCCCACCCTCCACTATCCTGTATATCTCAGTAGTTTCTGAGGACATCACTGTTCTATGCTGTGTAGTAACTGATTCTTATATTGCTCACCCTGAGTCAGCAAGATGTATATCATTGTCCAGTGGCCCCTGCTTAAGGAGGAAGGAAGTTAGCAGTCACACAGTAAAGAAAGATTCCCTTCCAAAGTGATAAAAAGAATTGATGTTTCAGGATAAAGATCCTTAGCTTCTGAGATCACAGCTTCATTGAGGTCCTTGTGGGGGTATGTCCTTTGGAAGGAATGAATATTCTCTGTGGAGCCCAGGAACCCTGGCTGTTCTCACCCCTCCGAGCCTGGCACAGTTGCTGAAGGAGTGCATGTGTGAGGGTCACAACATGCAGGAGCTCTCAGTCCTTAGCCTCCGTTTCCCAAAGAGGACGACAGTGCCCTCTAAGGCACCCTCCTCAGATATCGTGGTGTTTTCATGTTCAGATTCTTGTCCTTATGTAACCTTGAGTTTTGGGTAGTGCTTTTATTCTAAAAGCATTTTCATATCTGTGACCTCATTTTATCCTCTGAGCAACTCTGGGTGGCTGAGCGCATGGCCGTCAGTGCTGGGACTGTGGTGAGGGGCAGAGACCCTGGCTGGGGACTCATAGGCCTGTCTGTCTGGCTTTCAGCAACGGTCCACGGTGGCATCCATGATGCATCGTCAGGAGACTGTGGAGTGCTTGCGCAAGTTCAATGCCCGGAGAAAACTAAAGGTGAGCCTTGCCCTCTGGACTTCCAGTGCCCGGTATACCCCCTGCCCCATCACAGAAGGAAGTTTTCCTCCTGGCTGGAGCTGAGCTATGAAAGTTGCACATGGTGGGGGCAAAAGACCTGATGTCTCAGGCTCTATCCAGCAGCTGCCCTCTGCCTGAGGCCAGGTTATACTTTTCTAGAGTCTGATTGGATTCATAGGACCCCTCTTCTTTCCTCAGGGTGCCATCCTCACGACCATGCTTGTTTCCAGGAACTTTTCAGGTATGTTTTCCCAGCCATGCACTTTAATTCTACTGAGGTGAGTGGGTCAGAACAGGGTGTTGCCATACACTGCCATCCTAGCCCTGGGTGACTCGGGCAACACCTTGACCATGATGATGAGGATCCTGCTGCTGCTGGGCCCTATAACCTGGTATTCTGGGGGGTTTTACTTGGGTTCAAATGTATGAGCTCTGTTCCCTAGAACCTCCCAGGGAGTAGCCTATCTGGCCTCCCATTTACTTTGTCCCTGGGGACTCTTATTTAATTCTCTGAAGAACTCGAAGCACTCTAAGATTTTAGCCCATCTCTGGGGTGTTGGAGGATGTGCTGGGAAAACAGAGATAAGATGCATTGAATCTTCTCAGTCACCACCAGTAATTTGCAGACTGGAATGATCCTCTACTTCATTATGTCCAAGTAGAGATGACTAATAGAAATTATTCCAGATGTTTAAACCTTTTTCAGCAACTGTGCTTAAAATATTCTCTGTGATATTATCTGTAAAAGTGAAGAAATAGACTAGCGGGATGGAAGGAAAGGCATTTTCTTAAATTTGCATGAGGAATTAAGAAAATTGGGACCAGTAATTTGTAAATCACACTTGACATTTCTTTTTAAGATGCAAGACACTCCACCTCCTCCCCA